GTAGGGCCGGGATTCTCTTCCACATTTCCACTAAGCAGTAACTTGGTGCGGATGATACTGCTGATGGCGCGGTAACACGCGCCCCAGAACCGACAAGGATAATACTGTGTCCCAGCAAGACGCGGCGGGTCCTGGTACTGTGTGATGCCGTAAGCCGGGCGCCGCAATGTTCTCCAGGTGGCGAACGTTGCTGGCGCTTGGCTTCCCCCGACAATACGGGGTACTGGACCTTGGTACCACGATGAGGTGGCCGGCATCACCAAGGAATTTGCTTCGTAAAACGGCATGTCTTCGAAAGCTGCCAGCGTCAGCGCCGTGTAGTATCCGCCGCGGCTGTCGATCTGGGCACTCATCAGCTCGTCCTTCGCGTTGCGCCTCGACCAGTGCGACGTCGCTTTCCCATTGACCCCTACCTGGAGTTCCATGCCTTTTGCTTCCTTGCATTTGAAGTGCTCCTTAGTCTCGTTGAGGGTCTTCTCGGACGTCACCACGGGGTGGTTACGGCCGCGCGCTCCGGAGTTGCTGGGCACCATATTGTGGGCCACCATGCGACTGTGCATGAATCCAAGTGCGTGTGCAATCTCGTGCGCAGCGACTCGAACGGCGAGACGCAAGTCACGGAAGCCGGAGGGCGGGAAGTTCATGACGCCAGCAACAGGACGCCCCCGCCCTCGAGGCCCCAGAGCCACACGGAAGAGCGAATACACTTCCTGGCCAAGCTCCTACGTAGAGCACCATGTCGGCATTAACACCCTTCCCTTCCTTCGCACGGTGGTCTTCAGGCACAGTGAAGCTGCTGCACAGACTCTTCTTGTCGAACTCGGGTACAATAAACGGAATGGGCAGAGGATTCACGCGGAGACGGTCTGTGTGGAGTTTAACAGCCGCGGGGAGGATCTTGTCGGTGAGGTCGGCCTTGCGTTCAGGAGTGAGAACGTCTGATGCTTCGCATTTGAAAGTGCCCCCGAGAAAATATGGGCGTTTCATCGCATCGTTCTTCAGAGTTGTCTTTTGCTTCCTTTCATTACCTAAAAATGGGAGTTTAACTAACAGGCCATCCCTTCCGCAGTACTTGGTCGGATCATTCAGATCCAGTGTGGACACACTGATGCGTATCGGCTTCCTCTCACTCTCCTCCTCCTTTGTCGAGAGCGTGTACGCCTGCCATCCGTTCTGCCCCTTCTGCTCCACCTCCTTCACCACGGCAATCTCCTGCGAGCCACTCTCCTTCACCACATCGTCGAACGTGCATTTGTACGACTCGGCGGCGACGCATCCGCTGGCGCAGCACACCACCACTACCACCAGCAGCGGAAGGAGCAGCGAGACGTGGGGATGCTGATGCATTGTGTCGCTGACGGTGTGTGTGTGCTTTCTGGTGGTTTGGCGAGAAGCAGTAGTGTGGACTATTTCAAATCAGCGGAGGAAACAGTGCATCGAGAACCTTGAGCACAACAGCAGTCGCAGGAATGGAGACAGAACAGTGCCCAGAAGCACACAACACACACAGCGCGAGCTCAAAAGATTATACGTCTCACCGTCAAGCGGAGAGTGCGTCATGAGGGAGTCGTGCCAGCAAAAGGCCCGCTGCGCCTTGCCGATGAGGGTGGTAATGTCATCCCTGGCGCGGTGGTTCTCTCCGCCACAGAGACGTCGCACACACTTCGCACCCCAACTCCGTGTGGAGGCGGCCGGGAGACTTTCACGCAGAGGGAGCGCTCCCTTTCGTACTCACATCAGCAGCAGCCATTACCATGCCCCACTTTCACCGCCGCGGTGCACAGCAAACACGTCACCCGCACAGCGGAAAGCCGCGCATCTTGTGTCCTTGCAAGCCCCACGTACAGCTTCCGTGGAAAAAAAAAGAGAATGGAAATAACAATTCACCATGTCGAAGGAATACACTGTGAGATTTGCACATAATAATTGTGCAGCATCTCTTTCACTGTGGCTCATGCTGCGAGGGATGGCAGTGATTCATTGGTCTCTTTAGTTCATAATAGTCGTGGCCGCAGACACGCGCTAGCCTTCGGCGGGCGTTGTGTCCTCGCTTGCCTCGTCGACCACCTCGACAACCACATCGGCCTCTTGAAGG